TTTACTGATACATACAATCCAACGATTGTTACAGTTTTTATGTGCGCTTGTGTGCTTGAAAGGAAATGCTAGCTTTTTGTCCTCATTAACTTGCTTGCTGGCTGTTTTTAGTGTTTTAAAGTAGTTGATTTGAGATTTATTTGAGAAGCGGTTTCCAAAATATGAGTTTTTTAGTCTTGGTACTGCCACAGCGACATTATTAGGTAGTTGTTGCTTTTTTTTGTTTTGGTTTTTTTCTCTGTTTTTTGTTCTAATCGAAAAACGCCCAGGAGAGCTAGAATTGAGTCTTGGTTTCATTTTTTTTGGCGTTTTTGGATGCTGTTGTCCTTAGTATAATGGTGGTGGCGTTGTTGCACCGTGCAGTGGTTTAAATAGTTCTTGTTTTCACTATATATGAGTAACTTTGTCGTTGTCAATGTATGGGTCTGTGTGCTTTTAGTGTGGTCCAATTTTACTCCTTGATTTCCAGATGATTACAGTTTTAGAATCAGCATTCTTTTTCACCATGTCTTCAACGTATTTATCATCTATGTGGCTTATTTTGCAGCAGCATAGACGACTTGCGGTAGTGCTGAGTAGAATCCTTGTATTCTTTTCGTTGATTTTCTTTTGTTTTTAGTGACTGTCATTAGTGATGTTATTTTTTTCTGCTTACCATGTTCTTGCTTTAATTTCCACATTAGTGCCGATCCACTCAAACGGGTTGTTTGTGTATTTGAAAAAGAAGAAAAGAGAGAGCAACAACAAGAAAAAAAAAAGACGATTTTCAGAAGTAAGGAAATTGATTGATCTTGTCGTTTTGATTACATTTTCTTGCTGCAAACGCACAGCACACATACGTTCGTCATCGACGTATTGGTTTTGCTCCCCGTGAACCATGCAACACAAAGAAGGTCTTGTATGTGCTCCAATTTGGAGCTTTGTTCAGATACATCTATACATGAGTGTGTTTTTTAGTGTATGCATCTATACATTCGTACGTCGCTTGCACCTTCTTTCAACCAACCAGGCCACTGGGTTCACCATTCTTCTTTCGGTCCTCCACCTCTCCAGTCTGCTGTAATA